GTAAGCATCTTTCTGGTCTTCTCTGTTTTTAATGAAGATCCATCTGACTTCCACAGTTCCATGTCTGTTTCCCTGTCCTTGTCTCAATCTAGCTAGAATTTCTGCAAGCTCCCTGCCAATTTACTGTTGCAACTGTTTTTTAATTACCTTCAGAAAATTTTATTTGCTTATAATATTAATGATATTGTCGAGTGATTTCCATCACATTATGTCCATCTAAGCAGGTAACAGAGCCAGTACAGCTTTAAGGAGAGAAAAAATAGACTCCACATCTCAAAAAAAGGAGGGACAAAACATTTGAGACCATCTTTTATCTACCTTAATACTGGGTGGAAACTCTGCTTCTCTGTTTTCTGCACTTTAGCTACAAGTTTTCTAATTTTTCTTGAGTCTTTAGAGAAATTGACAAGTTTTTTTATGTTTGTTTTAAATTTCTAAGCCAAAAATGATAAGACCTACCTAGAAATAAATTATAAAATCATGCCTTTATTTATGTTTTGGAAGTTTATATGTTTCTCCACATAAATTTGCATGTGTGTGTGTGTGTGTGTGTGTATATTTATCTGTGTATGCATATATATATATATATATATATATATATATATATATATATATACACACACACACACAGATATATATACACATATATACACAGACTCACACACACACACATATATTATACACAAGCATATATATACACACACACACACATATATATACACATGCATATATATGTGTGTGTATATATATAATTTGTTGTTATTGTTGTTAAGTGCCGTCGAGACAGTTCCGAACCATAGCGACCCTGTATAAGGTTTCCAAGGAGTGACTGGTGAGCTTGAACTGCCGACCTTGCAGTTGAAACGGCTTTGAAGTCTGGTGCATTAACCCACAGTGCCACACCAGGGTAAGTTTTAGCATACAGTCTCCATCATAGCTAACCAGTTACTTATTTTACAAGGTACTAAAGAAGTCAAATATTATAATGAAATGTGCAAAGATCTGGAGTCAGAAAATCAAAAAGGAAGAACATGCTCAGCATTTCTCAAACTGAGAGAACTGAAGAAAAAAATTCAAGCCTCGAATTTCATTATTGAAGGATTCTCTGGGCAAATTATTGAATGATGCAGAAAGCATCAAGAGAAAATGGAAGGAATACACAGAGTCACTACCAGAAGCAAATGGTTGATGCTCAACAATTTCAAGAGGTATGATATGATGAAGGGCCAATGATACTGAAGTAGGAAGTCCAAGGTACATTGAAGGACTTGGCAAAGAACAAGGCATCAGGAACTGATGGAATAAAAATTGAAATCTTTCAAGAAAGTGAGGCAGCACAGGAGGCACTCACTCATCTCTGCAAAGAAATTTGGAAGACAACTATTTGGCTGACTGATTGGAAGAGCTCCGTATTTGTGCCCATTCCAAAGAGAGGTGACATAATGGAATGCAGAAATCATCGGATAATATCTTTGATATCCTGTGCAAGTAAAGTTTTATTGAAGGTAATACAGAATGGCTACAAGCATGCATTGACAGAGAACTTCCAGAGGTTCAAGATGGATTCAGAAGAGAATGTGGAATGAGGGATATCATTGCTGATGTCTGATGGATCTTGGCTGAAAACAGAGAATACCAGAAAGATGTTTACCTGTGCTTTATTGACTATGCAAAGGCTTTCGACTGTGTGGATCATGACAAACTATGGACAACGTTGCAAAGTATGAGTATTCCAGAACACTAAATTGTGCCATGAGGAATCTGTACCTGGATCAAGATGCAGTTGTTTGAACAGAATATGGGAACACTGAATGGTTTAAAATTAAGAAAGGTATGCAACAGGGTTGTATTATTTCACCATACATATTCTACCTGTATGCTAAACAAATAAGCTGGGTTATATGAAGAAAAACATGGCATCAGAATTGGAGGAAGACTCATTAACAACCTGCGATATGCAGATGATACAAGCTTGCTTTCTGAAAGTGAAGAGGATTTAGAATACTTACTGATGAAGATCAAAGAGCACAACCTTTGGTATGGATTGCAACTCTATGTAAAGAAAACAAAAATCCTTACCACTGGTCAATAAACAACATTCTTATCAATGGAGAAAAGATTGAAGTTGCCAAGGACTTCATTTTTCTTGGACCAACCATCAACACTCATGGAAGTAGCAGTCAAGAAATCAAACAACATATTGCATTAGGCAAATCTTCTGCACAAGACCTTTTTTAAGATTTGAAGAGCAAAGATGTCAGCTTGAAGACTAACGTGCGCCTGACCCAAACCATGGTATTTTAAATAACCTTATATGCATGTGAAAGCTGGACAGTGAATAAGGAAGACTGTAGAAGAATTTATGCTTTTGTGTTATGGTGTTGGAGGAGACTATTGAAAGTGGGCATGATCTGCCAAAAGAACAAATAGATCTGTATTGTAAGAAGTGCAGCTAGAGTGCTCATTGGAGGCCAAGATGGCCAAACTTCGTCTCTCACAATTTGGACATATTGTCAGGAGGAACCAGTCACTGGAGAAGGATATTTATTATGTTTGGTAAGGTGGAGGGTCACAGAAAAGAGGAATTCCCCTAGCGAGATGGATTGGCAAAGTTGCAGCATTAATGGGCTCAAGTGTGGCAACAATTGTGAGGTTGACCCAGGACTGGGCAGTGTTTTATTCTGTTGTGCATGAGGTTACTATGAGTCAGTACCAACTCGAATGCACTTAGCAATAACAACAGTGTCATAATTTTGGTCAATAATCTGTTGAACTCAGAATATTTCATGACATACACATGGTAGATGGTTGAGTGAAAATTAATTAAAATAAGTTAGTTTATTTTTTGACATGTACACATCCGGCTTTTATTAGCATTATGGTTTTTAGCTGAATGAAAACAAACATTAGCTAAAAAAAAAGTGTCAAATGGTAGAAAAACATATTTGGGTAAGTATGACACAATTTTTTGAATCAGAGAATAAAAATGGTCTTATATTTTTCTTACAACTGCCAACAGAAAGCTAAACAATGAATGAAAATGAAATCAGGGAACTTAAAGGTCAAAGAGGGTCTCAAACAATATTCATATCTTTTAAATTTTTAGACAAAGGAACTGAGGATAGAAGAAGCAAATCCAATATATACACCATGATAATAGTCTTTTTTTTTTTTTAAATGGCTCAATTTTTATCATTTCTGAAAGCATGAAGGGCATAGAGACCCTTATTGTAGATGTATCATCTCCTTCCTCCTTGGCTATGAGGTGTGTGGTTTTGTTGACTAGAGGCATCCATGAGTTCAGTTTCTGAGACCAGTCATTTAATAAATTATTTGGATCCTAGGGTATCTGGAAGTTGATAATTCCTCCCAGCCTGTCTGCTTTAGCAAAGATGGTCTTGTTAACTGTGAGATTTGAGAGAAAGGCCTCTGACTCATCAACAGACAGATCCAGAAGCTGTACCATCCTCTTCATCATTACCTATGCCATGATTCTAATATTATGTTCAACAACTCTGTTCTTCAAGTCTTTCCAGCTTTTTTTCACCTTCCTATGTATAGCCAAAAACGTAAGTTGCTGGACTCTCACAAGAACCTTTTCTGAATTCCACTTCATAGTCATCAACAATTGTGGTCCAATGAATCATCTCCATTGAGGTAAAAAGCTTTAAAAGATCCTTGTATTTGGGAATTTCTTCTAACTTCCTGTCACCCCTTATTCAGAGCATCACATCTGACTGTTCATTGTCAAAAGGAGCCAGGGTAGTATAGAGAACAACATGTTTCAGAGCCTGTTACCTCTTTTCACTTTCTGCCTGTATACAGGGAATGTTTGTTACTGCTTGGTAGCGCTTACAAATAGACAAATAAGAGCCTTCATGCTGATCCAGCTGAATCATTAAATTATAATATTTCAACTTTTATTTTTCTGTGTTTTCCTCCTAGAAAAATTTGATATTAATTTTCTTGCTGATAATCTGAATGCCTCATCTTCTCCAAAAGAAACTCACTCTTTCTTCTCCATTAGCCCACAGGTTTCCACCTGTAACTCCTGTAAGATGGAGGCTGCCTCTTTCACATCACCATTTTGTTCTTTGATAGTTGCTAATGTTTTAGTCAGTGGAGCATGCTCACTTTCAACATAAATCTTTCCTTCTGTAACCATTCATGGCATATCAATTAATCGAAGTTTGGTTGGGAGGTCTGTGATTTTCTCAGTGTAAGTACAGCATTGTTGAACCACTTTTGCAAAAGCTTGTTTTAATATTTTCATTTAGTAAATCCCATTCTCTAGCCTCATAGCACATCTTCACTATTGCCACTACGATACAGGATGTAGACACCATAGCAGAAGCTGCACGGGTCTGTTTCTCGAAAGAGAGAAGGGTTTCAGTGACTTCTTAAAGTCTTCCTTCCTTGGTCAGCTTCTCGCACTCTGGCAGGAGCTGATCCACGGTGGTGCTGTAGTCCACCTCCATCTTGACAATGCATCCATCAGCCCATTCTGAGTGGCTGTCCAACATGATTTCTGCCTGAGTGTCCCTTGATGTCCCTCTGTTTCGGCCACCAGTCTAAAATAAGTTTTTTAAAAGCATATATCAAACAGGAAAATAAAGGGTATAGATATTTTATCACCCAAGTTTCATTACACAGAGCACGTTCTTTGAGTCAGAGGAGAAAATGGATTGTAATTGAAATCTGTATTGCATTTTGGAAAACGTTGTGCTAGGAAAGATGTTACCAGGACTGCTGAGTGAATTTTGTTTACTATAGTTCAACATTCATCTAGCAAATCATGTGAGAAGGGACAAGTATAAATGCACTTATTTATGTAGGTAATTTTTCTGTTTCATGCTTCTGATTCATCTTTCTGCCTTGCTTTATGGGGAGTCATGCTACATTGGTTACAATTAATTTCAGTGCTGCATATTAGCCATAAAGAGGTATTTCATAAATTGAATTGATGTATTCTTTTTCCCCCTCTGTGATTTTCTTGAAAGATGAGAACGGTCCAGAAGAGAAGCAAAATGCAGAAGAAATGGAAGGGCAGAACCAAGAAGCAGGTGGGCTGAGATTTCTTTTGAGGATCCTTCTAGGCCTCATCCATAGAGGTGAACAATGACTTTACTCTCTGCTATTGTCTGAAAATGCTTATGCCTTTTCACCAGGGCACTCAGGTTGGCACATACTTTGTTAACTAGAATGACACTGCTTCAAATCAGAGTGCGGATTTTTCATGTCTCATTCACAAATTACATTTTTCTCTAGTCTAATAACAGTTTGCTTAGTAATGCTCTAAATGGGAAAAGGAGAAGACTAGAAGTGCCAAGTCAGAGCATGGCTGATTTAGCTTAGGCCAAAATTAGTATATTTAGTTTGCAAATTAATGAAATAAAAAATATTTAAAAGAAGTAAAAAGCAGGCTTGTACCATTGTCACTGGAAAATTCATTCCTTTTTGCATTATATTCATTTTGAAGAGCTATGCTTCTGCTTATTTCTTTGCATGTAGTTGGAGATAATTCATGAAGACCGTCTATACCATACTATCTTCAAACGAGCCTGTCATTATCTAAATTAATATAGGACAAACATCTCAATAGAATGCTTGTAGATTCTACATTGTAAATTATAGATTATAAAATAAACATTTAAAATAAAATGGCATTATAGCTCAAAAGAGATTATCTTTACTTTCAATCTATTATTTTTCCCTGCCCATTTTTGTACTCAGACACACTCTCCTTTGAAAGAATGACAGGTACAACCACATAGTTATTGTAGACAACAAGACAATAACATAGACACAAACAAGAAAACATCTTTGTTCCCCTTAGTTTCCAAATCATCTTCCCAGTACAAAAGAGGCTGTGGCGTGTTTGAATAGTGCCCTCTATCAAATGTGTGCCAGACCCATGCTAGGCCATATGCTAAACTCTTGGAATTCAACCAGGTAGTGTGTTAAGTTTTGCACTGAAAACTTCCTACATTAACCTTGGAACTTTTGCTAGGGAATTGGAAGCTTTTATTATTAACCTGGAAGATGGAATTGAAGAAGGCCAATCAGAGAAAGCACTGAAGCAAGGCAGCAAAGACCTTGTGTACTTGGTACTGGGTCAGCTGGTTCCCTTAGCTGAAATGTAGTCCTTGCAGTGAAATGAATTTCTAATACAGCAAATTGTTGTTATCCACCCTGTCCCCCTCGCTATGCTCGATAGAAGATGAGCCTTATGTGACAAGCTGTCACTGTTTTTACTGTTTGGGGCTGAAAAGAATTTGTCAACTAACGGCTGACAGCTGATGCCATTTTCTGAATGTTTGATTTCAACAGGTTTATTCACTGCTCTGTCCTAAACTCTTTTTCAATATAGCTTTTTCTTCTCATGTTTTCATGTGCACACACATGTGCCTGTATTTCGGTTATTCATTCTTTCTCCCTTAGTCAGTTGAGAACAGACTGTTTTAAGATTGGTATCATTTTGTCTGTTAGCATGCAGGGGAAAGAAATGAGTATCTCCTTCACCTCTTGAAAGGAGCTCTGGTATCATAGTGATTACGAGCCGGACTCCTAAAATCATGGTCAGCAGTTCAAAAGTACCAGCAGTTCTGCTGGAGAAAGATGAGGCTTTCTGTTCCTGCAAAGATTTACAGCCTCAGAAACCTGATAACGGAGCCACTATGAGTCGGAACCGACTCCATGGCACACAACAACCACCTACCTTTTGAACTCAGTAACACTCTCACTACAATATAGATATATCTCAGTGTAAGGAGGTACTGAGTGGTACAGATGGTTAACGTGCTAATATGTCTACTAAGAGGTACCTTGGAGTCCTGTTGTGGTGCTGTAGGATAAGTACTGGACCGTTAATCAAAAGGTTGGTGGTTCAACCCCACCAGTCTCTCCTTGGAAACCATATAGAGGGACACGGTGAGTCAGAACAGACTCGATGGCACTGAGCAACAACAACAACAGAGGTACCTGAGAAAAAAGGTCTGGAGATCTTCTGAAAAATGAGCCATTGGAAACCATATGGGGCATAACTCTACTGTGACGCACATAGATGAAGTTGCCATGCATTGGAGTCAACTCCAGGGCAGCTGGTTTCAATGTAAAGGATAAGTTCTAAATGCCTCCCTAAACAACTCCTTTTGGTTTTCTCTGAGAGTCAGTGGCTGGTATATAGTTTGTTGATATTGTTACTGTTAATTGTTGTTCCAGTCAATTCTGACTCTTAGCAACTCTGAATAGGGTTTCTGAGGAATGGCTGGGGAGCTTTAGCTGCCAACCTTGCTGTTCAAACTGACCTTGCAGTCCTATATTTCTAGACCTGTGTCAACAAACACTGTCAGGTTCATTGTGCTCTTTTCAGAACCTCCCTAATCTAACTGAAGAGAAACCAAATCCCTGGTCTCATCATCAAAGCCCTTTTGACCTGCTTCTACTCTTTCAAAATTAAAATAACTTTTCATTCAATATAATTTCTAACTTTAATTTTGATTTGCTACTCAACATATCCCATTAGGAAAAAGACACACAATCAAAACAGTATAATCTAGCAATTTATACTGCTGTCATGATCAAGCCAAATCAAATTTGTAAATGATATTTCTGAGACAGTTATTTAACTCATACTTATCAAGTGCTTACTATGTCCCCAGCACTATCCTGGGCAATAGAAATATAGCAGCAAACAACAGTAATAGTGTGCTTGCTTTCTTGAAGCTTATATTCTAATTGTTGTTGTTACGTTTTGACTCATGGTGACCCTGTTAAGGGTTTCTCAGGAATCACTGGTGAGTTTGAACTGCTGACCTTCAAATTGACCTTGACATCCAGTTCATTATCATGAAGTGCCACACCAGGATATTCTGTTTGTTATTAAGAGCCTTTGAGTAGATTCTGACACATAGTAGTAGCCCTACATAGATAGGGTTTCTGAGAAGCAGCTGGTGAGCTTGAACCATGTATCTTTTAGTTCAAACGACTTTGCAGCCTGGCGCATTAGCCAACAGCACCACACCAGGACTCCTATATTCTGGTTGCTGTTGTTAAGTGCTGTTGAGTCAGTTCTGACCCTTAGTGACCCTGTATAGGGTTTCCAAGGAGCACCTGGTGATCTTGAACCACCAATCTTGTGATTCAAACTGACATTGCAGTCCAGTGCATTAGCCCACAGTGCCATACCACGACTCTTGGTTGTTGTTGTTAAGTACCGTGGAGTAGGTTCGACTCATAGTGACCCTGCACAGGGTTTCCAAGACTATAAATCTTTACGGGAGCAGAACACCTCAGCTTTCTCCCATGGAACTGCTGGAAGTTTCGAACTGCCGACCTTGAGGTTAGCAGCCCAATTCATAACCACTATGCTACCAGAGCTCCTTACGACTCTTGGTAGGTAGGTCCAAACAACAAATAAAAATGATATAGAACAAATACCCAGAAAGTATACTTTAATTGGATAGACTAAGGGAAGGCATCCTGAAGAAATTATAGTTAAGATGACATCTAAATGATGAGATGATGGAAGGGCATTCTAAATAGAGAAAACAGGTAACACAAATACCTTAAGGCCAGATTAGATTTTACATTTTGTAGAAAGAAATGAAGAAAACAAAAGGTCATTAAAAAGATTGGAAAGAAATAAAAAAATAAATAATGGATGTCAGAAGAGACTCTGAAACTTGCTTTTGAATGTTGTTGTTGTTGTTGTTAAGTGCCATCGAGTCGGTTCCGACCCATAGCGACCCTGTACAGGGTTTCCGAGGGTGTAAATCTTTACGGGAGTAGAAAGCCTCATCTTTCTCCCGCGGAGCGGCTGGTAGTTTCGAACCGCTGACCTTAAGGCTCGCAGCCCAAAGCAAGAGAAGATGAAGTAAAAGAGTTGAGAAGATTTAAAAGCAAAGCTCAAGAAGACAAAATAAAGTATTATGATGAAATTTGTATAAACCTAGAGTTAGAAAACTATAAAAATAAGAATAAATTTGGCATTTCTCAAACTAAAAAAAATATTTAAAGTTTCAACTTGCAATATTGAAGGATTCTACGTGTGAATGAAGCATCAAAAGAAGATGGGAGGAATATAGAGGTACTGTCCCCGAAAGATTTGGTCAATGTTCATCCATTTCAAGAGGTAGCCTGTGATCAAGATCTGATGGTATTGAAGGAGCAACTCTAAATTGCATTGAAAGCATTGGTTAAAAAAAAAAAAAAAGACCAGGAATTGATGGAATACCAATTGAAATGTTTCCACAAATGGATGGGATGCTAGAGTTGCTTACTCATAAAAATGGGAAACTGTTACCTAACCAACCTACTTCCTACTTGAAGAGATCCATATGTGTGTGTGTTCCAAAGAAAGTAATCCAACAGAATGTGGAAATTATCAAACAATATCATTAATGTCACACACACACGTAAAATTTTGCTGAAGATAATTCAAAATATTTGCAGCAGTAAGTTAACAGTCAATGGGCAGAAATTCAAGTCAGAGCAGAAGAGAAGGTACTATGAGGGATATTACTGCTATTAGATAAATCTTTGCTTAAAGTGGAAAATACCAGAAAGATGCTTATCTGAGTTTCATTGATTATGCAAAGGCAATTGACTGTGTATATCACAGCAAATTATGAATAACATTGCAAAGCATGATACTTCCAGCATGGGAATTCCAGAACTCTTAATTGTGCTCATGCAGAACCTTTACATAGAGACCCAAACACAGTCATTGGAACAGAACATGGGAATACTTCATGGATTAAAAATCAGGAAAGGTGTGTATCAGGGTGGTATCCTTTCACAATACTTATTAAATTTGTATTGCTCTTGTTAGTGTTAAGTGCCTTTGAGTCAGTTCCTACTCATAGCGAACCTGAATAGGGTTTCTGAAGAGTGGCTGATGAGGTTGAACCTTGCGATTCAAACCGACTTTTCAGTCCAGCACATTAACTCATAGCACTACACCAGGACTCCCAAGAGAGCTTGGTGTTAAGTGCCTCCGAGTTGGTTCTGACTCATAGTGACCCTGTATAAGGTTTCTGAGAAGCAGCCAGTGAGCTTGCCT